TATCATTACCTAAGTAGGGACCTCTCTAGGGTCTCCATGATTCAGACAAGATCAAAAAAATGAATTCGCTATAATCTTACCAGACATAGAGTTACTCTCTAATTAGAGAGAGAGACATGATAGTTAACCTGAGGGTAACCATGCCTCAGGCAAGAGGAGAGGTTGAGAAGGAGAATCCTTCATGGTGACCCTAGCCAGTGTGGGAATTGAGTCTATGCTATTAGCTTCACTCTACCTCACAAACCAGCCACCCAGGTGACTGAGCTAAATTGAACTCCAGATGATAATAGACACCATCTGGTTTAATTAGAAGGGTCAAGGAAGTACAATATGTTGTATTTCTGTAATGATTTCCATTTTAAATTGAGTTTTTACAGTCTCACAGAGATTGTTAAGAGGATCTGTTCTTAGGTCTGACTCCTTCAAGATCTCCACACTTTTACTTCTGATATCACCACACTGGGTGGTGTTTTTTGCACTCAATCAGTATTAACTTTTTTAGACCCATTTTACAGGATAACATGTTTCCCATTATTTTTAATGATTATGTGAGCATTCATAGGTGAGTGGTCCTAAATCCATGTACAGAAACACAGAAATTCCCTCCATCATAATCAAAGTATATTGTTTGATGTCAAATGCCTTGCTAACTAAATGTGACGGCTATGTGGAGGAAAAGAGGGAAAATGAGCTGAGCAGAGAATAAATCAAGCGGAAAGGGGAAGGGACAGTGGAGATGAGGCTGACATCAGAAATGAGTCAATTAGTTTCTAACCTGTTTGCATCTCCTGTGAGCAACTGCTTGTGAGATGACCGATGCAGTTCCAAATTGCACAAAGCTCCTCTTCAATTTCTTGTAGCGAGTCCTTTTGTGGAGAAGTTGAAACATAATGTTAGAGAACAGGACAGTGGACACGCACACGCACACACACACAGACACACCTCAATTACCATTTGAAGGGTAAATCCCCAGCTGAGATGTCACCAAATCTATAATTCATGATCCTCTGAAGAGATCCACAACAGATCACTTCAGATATTATGGACTTTTCATGGGATGCAAATAGTGTCACTCAATTCTACTCCCATAACAGGAATGAGTCACTTTATTGATCAATGTAAAGAGAACCAGGCCAGTAGTTCACAAGTGAACAGTTGACTAAGTTGGTCATTTACAGCAGTTGTTTTATGTGGTTTCCTACACAGCAAGGCAATATAAGGTATCTCACAAAGTGGCCGGGTGTTGTGTGGGGCTGTACCATCAGTCAACAGTCAGAGGTGAAGAATACTGTGGGCAAGAAGAGGAAACTGAACTCAATTGACCATGATAACACAGTGTGGAGCCGGAGGAACACAGCAGGCCAGGCAGCATCAGAGGAACAGGAAAGCATACGTTTCGGGTCGGGACCGTTCTTCAAAGATGGGAGTTTAGAAGGGTGACGGAGAATCTCATTGAAATTTACGGAATATTGAGAAGCTTGGATAGAGTGGGTGTGGAGAAGATATTTTGATTCGTAGGAAAGATGAGGAGGGCACAGCCTCAGAGTGAAGGGATGATCCTTTAGAACTGAGATGAGGGGGGGCTTTCTTCAGCCAAAGGCTGGTGACTCTTTGGAACTTACTGCTGCAGATTCTGTGGAGGACAAGTCATTGAGTGTATTTAAGACAGAGAAAGATAGGTTCTTGTTTGAATGGGGATCAAGGGCTATATGGAGAAGGCAGGAGAATGGGGTTGAGAAACATAATCAGCCATGATCAAATGGCAGAGCAGACTCGATGGGTTGAATGGCCTAATTCTGCTCCTGTATCTTGTGGTCTAATGGTGTGCAAAGTGCATAACAGTCATGCCATGGGATTAGAAGGAAGGGAACTGAACTGCCAACAGCAGCATACTTATGATCTCAATTGTCTTACACAAAACTGATTCCAGCAGTACCTTCTTCAGAAACAGAAAGTTTCTCAGAAAGCTGTCTCTACCTCCTGATAGCCTCCTCTCAGCAGTTACCACCAAAGGTTAAGTAAATGAGCAAGATGGTAGTAGAAGGGTATACTATGGGCAAAAAGGGAATTAGCCACTCAGGTGGGGAAATGGAAAACAGATTATTTTTTAAAGTGAGAACTAGGTAAATGTTCAGTATAAGTGTTGTGCACAAATCAGAAACAGCTAACATGTAGGTGCAGCAAGTAGCTATAAAAACAAATTGTAAGTTAGTTTTTATTGCAGGGTGTTGGGAGGGAGGGGCACTTTCAGTATAAAGTAATGTAGTGTTGCTGAAATTATCCAGGGTTTTGTTGAAACAAAACCTTGAGTACTATCTTAAAGTCTGGATGCTTGACCTAAGAGAGGACACTCTTGACCTAAAGGGGGCAAATAGACATTTACTAGACTGATTCTGGGCTTGAGAGAGTTGTCCTCTGAGGAAAGATTCAGTAGAATATGGGCCTAAAAACATTAGAGTTTAAAGGGACGACAGGAGGCCCCATCAAAACATACAGCACTCTTGCATAGGAAATAGGAGCAGGAGTAGGCCATTTGGCCCCTCCAGCATACTACACTGTTCAACGATTGATTGATTGATTGATTTTATTGTAACATGTACCGAAATACCATAAGCTTTGTTTATGAGCAGTACACGCAGATCACAGCAAGCAAAGGATGCGCAGGTCAAAAAGGCATAGAGGCATACAGATTACATTGCAGGTTACATTATTTGAGGCTAGAATCCATTCAACTGTCTGACAACGGCAGGAAAGAAGCTATTCCTGAACCTGCTTGTGTGTGTTCAGGCTTCTGTATCTTCTGCCTGACGGAAGAGGTCGTGGGTGATCATTACCGGGGTTTGATGGGTCTTTGATGATTTCCGCGGCAGCGAGCCTGTAAAGAGAGTCCATGGATGGAAGTCATGAGGAAGGGTCACCGGACCCGAAACGTTAACGCTGATTTTCTCTTCACCGATGCTGCCAGACCTGCTGAGCTTTTCCAGCAACTTCTGTTTTTGTCCATGGATGGAAGGTTGGCTTTCATGATGGTCTGGGCTGTGCACACCACCCGCTATAGTTTCTTATGGTCCTGGGCAGAGCAGTTGCCATACCAGGCCGTTACGCATCCAGACAGAATGCTTTCAATGGGACATCTGTAAAAGTTGGTGAGGGACCTTATGGATATGTCAAATTTCCTGAGCCGCCTGAGGAAGAAGGGGCATTGTTGTGCCTTCTTGACTGTGGCATCTACGTGGGAAGATTGTCATTAATCTTGTAACCTCAACGCCATTTTCCCACATAATCTCCATATCCTGTGATGTTTTTAATGTCAAGAAGTTTTATCAATCTCTGTCCTGAATAAACTCAAAGACTGCACCTCAATAACCCTCTGAGCTAGAGAATTCCAGACATTCATGACCCTCTGAATGAAGAAATTCCTCCTCTTACGCTACGTCAGACTCGTGCTCATTGACTACAGCTCCACCTTCAACACCATTATTCCCTCCAGACTGATATCAAAACTGCATGACCTTGGTCTTGGCTCCATCCTCTGCAACTGGATCCTCAGCTTTCTAACCAGTAGGCTGCAATCAGTGAGGATAGGTAACTGCACCTCCTCCACAATAACAATCAACACTGGAGCCCCCGCCAAGGATGTGTCCTCAGGCCCCTACTGAACTCCCTGTATATCTACGACTGTGTTGCCAAATTCCAAATGAATACCATTTACAAGTTCGCTGACGACACCACCATAATGGGACAGATATCTAACAACGACGAGTCAAAATACAGAAGGCGGATAGAAGGCTTGGTGACATGGTGCAATGAAAACAATCTGTCTCTCAACGTCAGCAAAACTAAAGAACTGATCATTGACGTAAGAAAGAAAGGAGGAGAACACACCCCCATCTACATCAATGGAACCGTGGTTGAGAGGGTGAAGAGCATCAAGTTCCTCGGAGTGACGATAACTGACAATCTGTCCTGGATTTCACACGTAGATGTGACAGTCAAAAAGGCACAACAATGCCTCTTCTTCGTCAGGTGGCTCAGGAAATTTGACATGTCCATAAGATCCCTCACCAACTTCTACAGATGTACCATTGAAAGTATACTGTCCGGGTGCACAATGGCCTGGTACGGCAACTGCTCTGTCAAGGACTGTAAGAAACTACAGAAGGTGGTGTGCACAGCCCAGTCCATCACAGAAGCCAACCTTCCATCCACGGACTCCATTTACACATTCACTGCCACGGAGAGGCAGCCAACATCATCAAAGACCCATCACAACGTGATAATGACCTCCCACAACCTCAACTGTCAGAATACAGAAGCCTGAACACACGCACAAGCAGGTTCAGGAACAGCTTCTTTTTGGCTGTAATCGGACTGTTGAATGGACTCTCTAGCCTCAAATAATGTAATCTGCAATGTAACCTGTGTGCCTCTAAGTCTTTTTGATCTGTACATCCTTTGCTTGCCGTGATCTGCCTATACCGTTCATAAATGAAGCTTTTCACTGTATTTCGGTACACGTGACAATAAAATCAATCAATTAATCAATCAATCCACCAATTTTATTCTGAGAGTGCGTCCCCTGTTTCTACACTTGCCAGTCAGGGTAAACATCCTTCTTATATCTTCCCTGTAAGACTTATGTACGCTTCAAGGAGTTGTCTTCTTATTCTTCTAAACTCTAAGGTACACACAAAGTCAGGAAGCTTTCTCACTAGCTGGAGAAATAGGGACCATAATTTATGATGAGGGGTCAGTGTTGAGATGTTCAGAAATTTCTTCATCTCAGGCAACGTGAACATTCAGAATTCCTAACCTCAGGGGGTTGTTGAGGTTCAGTTGTTGAGTATATTCAAAACAGTGATAGATGGATGTTTGGATATGAACAGAATCATGGATGTGGCGTTCCAGCATGAAAGTGGTGTTGATAAAGATCAGCCAAAGCCTTGTTGAATGATATTGCAGGCTTGAGGAGCCAAATGGCCTACTCCTGCTCCTATTCCTTATGCATCTTTGCAGAGTTGACCACTAGAGCTGACTTGAGCCAAGACTCGTTGATTTGGTTGATAAAGGTACTCTTTGAGGCCGTAGAAGCGTGTAGCTACAGGAAGCCTATCATTCCTATAAGTGAGAGTTACTGCCTCAAAAGCTATGGAATATTTTACACATGCCACACTATTAGATGGTGCAGAGGAGGTTGACCTGGCCTGGTGTCCTCTGATATGAGATTGAATAATGACTATCTTCTGTTTGAAGATCTGGAAGATTTTCCTGTTGATGAAGCCACGGATGTTTTTCTGAATGGTGACAGCTGCCCAGTTCTGGGTCTTCCGCCAACAATGCTCTAACTGATTGAAAAGCTCATTCTTCAAAAACACCTGTGGAAACAACGAACATATTGCCACTAAACTTGAGGTCTACATCAAGGCACCTTTAATATACCCAAACAGATTGATATCACCCTGCTTCCACTACTCTCCAGATTCTAGGCTTCTGTGAATAATTTTCATTGTCAGTTTCAATGTTTTTCTCCAATGTGTCTCCTTCTCTATATCCCTTTGTTCTTCACTGCTCCCCCTAGCACTATAACCCTTTCTCGCCAGTGTGTCTTTCAGTCTATATTCCTTTGTTCCACAATGCATCTCCCTTTCTATATCCCTCTGTTCCCAAGTTTATCCCATTCTTCATCTTCCTTTGTTCCGGAATGTGTCCTTCTCTCTAAATGCTTCTGCACCCCAACGTGAATCCTGTCTATAACCCTCTGTTACCCAGTATATCCCCCTCTTTATATCCCTCTGTTCCCAAGTTTGTCCCCTTCTCGATACCCCTTTATTGCTGGATGTGTCCTCTCTCTATATTCCTCTGCCTTCCAATGTTCTTCCTCTCTATATATCACTTCGTTTCCCACTGTATTCCCCTCATCATATCTCTATGTTTCCAAGTTTGGCCCTTTCTCTATATCTCCTTGTTCCCAAGCCTCCAATACCTCCTCATTCCTTATATCGATTTGCTCTAGAACCTCACAGTCCATCTTCTCGAATTCTGCACTTACATCCTCCTTCTTCTGAGTAAAGACAGATATGAAGGACTGTACCAATGTCCTTCAGCTTTAACACAGATTTCCCCCTTGGTTACTTATAGCCTACTTGTTCCCTGATTATTTTCTTCCCCATGATATACTTACAGAATATCTTGGGATTCTCACTAAACTTGCCTGCCAGTATTTTTTCATGCCCCATGAGGGTACTTATAGCCTGGCACATTCGATCCCAGTGTCTAAGGATGTAGTATACCCAATGGTGTGTACCTTGAAATGTTGTTATTTGGGGTCCAACATACAGGTCCTTTGACGCAAGTGGTGAGCTGAATTCATCAGGTACGCACTCTAGTTGTCATATCATGTTGTCTCAATGTCTAACCTTTTTGGTGAGTTTGCTGAGATTTGAGGCTGAACATCAATGAGTTGAGTTGGGTCATCGACATGGCATTTAGCAAGCTTTTAACTAGTACATATCCACTAAATATATATTCCAAAGTATGCATTTCCAGTGTGTCTTCAGGGTGCACACATTATACCAAAATAAAACAAAGAACTGCAGATGCTGGAGATCAGAAACAGAAATTGCTGGAGAAACTCAGCATGTCTGGCAGCTTCAATGGGAAGAAAGTAGAGTTAATGTTTCAAGGCCATTGACCTTTCACCAAAACTTCATCAGACTCTGTCCCACACAACATATAACTCCAGTGGAAGAGCCAATACTCTAATTACTGAAGTTCTAAAGAAAAATCATATCAGGCTTGAAATGTTAGCTCTATTTCTCTCTTACATTCTGCCAGACTTACTGAGCTTCTCCAGTACTTTCTGTGTTTGTTTCAGATTTCCAGCATCTGTAATGCTTTGCTTTTATCTAGTTACCTTGGTGAGTCCAAGTTGATAAAGCCCCGGAGTACCCTCAGCGACCTTCTCGAGGATAGAAGAGCAGAACTCACTTTCTGAGCAATTCCCCTTCTGTAAAATGCTGTACCTACAATGTGCAAGAAAAGCACACTGTGGGACAAGGAGCTGCACCATTTCCCCTAGCAACAAAACAATGGTTCCTTCTTACAGATGAACCTGAACATATTTAAATAATGAATAGATAGATTTCTAGAAACTAAAGTGTCAAAGGGTAAAGGGACATTGGAGGAGTATGGCATTGAGATGGAGCATCAGTCGTGATCATGTTGAATAGTAGAGTGGGCTTGATGGGTTGAATGGCCTAATCCTGCTTCTATTTCTATGTTTGTATTTCCACTGCTCTCTGGGCAAAAGTGTTGCAGAGATTTATGACCCTCTGCGAGAAAGAAAAATCCTCCTCATCTCCATCTTAAATGGAAGATACATTGTTTTTAAACATTGACGTCTAGTTCTGGTCTGCAAGGAGACACTTCCTTTCAGCACCCAACCTGGCAAAGACCATCAGTGTCTTATAAGTTTCAACAAGATCATCTCTCATTCTTCCGAACTCCAGTGGTTATAGGATCAGTCTGTCTAACATTTCTGCACAAGTCAAATCCACCCAGCTCAGGTACCATTTGATGGAATTTTGTCTGAACTACTTCTAACACGTTTAAATCCTTTCTTAAACCAAAACTATACACTCCACTCCAGCTATGACCTCACCAACACTGTAAACAACTGTAGCAAGACATTACTACTTCTATATTCCTTTCCCTTTTCAATAACTGACAATATTCCATTTGCCTTCCTAATTACTTGCTGTATCTGCAGGAGAACATTCTGCACCATAACACCCAGATACCTCTGCACAACTAAGTACTGTAATCTCTCTCCATTAAAATTCTATATTGTTTATCTATTGCTCATGCCAAAGTGGACAAGTTCACATTTTCCAACATTATACTCCATCTGTCGAATTTTTACCCACTGACACCTAATGTCTTCTTCACAAATTACAATTTCACAATATACTTTCCTACCTACTTTTGTATCATCAGCAAATTTAGAATCCATACATTCAGCTCCTTTGTCCAAGTCAATAATATAAATTGTAATAATTGAGATCCCAACACTATTCCCTGTGGTACACCATTCATTAGATCATGCCGACCTGAAAACTACCCTTTTATCCCTATCCCCTGCTTCCTAATAGTTGACCAACCCTCTGTCCATGCTAATAGGTTACCCCTGAAACATTAGCTCTTATTTTGCATAGTAACCTTTGATATGGTGTGTTGTCAAATGCCTTCTGGAAATCTAAGTACTTTATATTGCTGATTCCGTTTTATCCAAGTTGCTTGTTTGTTCCTCAAAGAAGTCTAATAAATAAGTCAAACGTGATTTCCCTTTTACAAAACCATGGCGGGCTGTACCTGATTGCATTAGGATTTTCAAAGTGCCCTGTTATAAACCCCCCAAGATAGATTCCAGCAGTGTCCTTACGGTAGATGCTATACTAACTGTCCAAGATTCCTGCTTTCCATGGATCTATGACTAATGTTTTAAACTTAAACAAGGGAAATTATGAAGGCATGAGATCCTCTCCTTAACTACATTGTGGTCTGTCTTCAGCCCATGGGCTCCAGTGGTTCAAGATGGCAACTCATCACCACCTTCTCAAGGGCAGTTAGGTACGGGTTTTTAAATGCTAGCCCAGCCAGCAACACCCACGTCCCACAAGTGAATTTTAAAAAAAAATCACTGACTAAAGTGAGCTGGGACACTAGGTTAAGGTTCACAGATTCTGTCTCTTTCCCATTGTGAATAGAGGTGTCACATTTGCTAGTTTCCAATCTGATGGGATATCAGATCCTCTCTTTTCTCCCTCAAACTGAATGAAAAATTCATTCATCATAGAATCCCTACATTATAGAAGCAGGTCATTCGGCCCATCAGGTCCACACCGACCCTCCGAAGCACTTCCCATCCAGACATATTATGATCATTATTGCTCTAGAATGTACTGCTACTAAGATACAGTCCTGAAAACACTCCATGAACACATCTTCCATGCTACTTTTGTTAATCTGATTCATCAAATCCAGTTTAAAATCACGAATGATTCTTGCCTTTCTCCATAAGCTCCTATTATTTCTTCCTGTATATCTCACCCCTAGTGTGATTGCTGTTAGAGGGCCCATAAGTAACTTCTTACTTTTATTAATTTTCATCTTTACACAAACTGATTACATATCCTGATCCCCAAAACTAATATCATCTCTTTTTGTTATACCAAGACCATTATTAACTAACAGAGCTTTCTGTCTATTTTTCTTGGCTTCATATCTTTCCTAAATGCCATAAGCATCTGCTATTCAGCACCTAGTCTTTCTTACCTTGTAGCTATGTCTCTGTAATTGCTATCAGATCATGCAGACCTGTTGCAGGCAGGCAATGTGCACCATCGTCACTGTTAATCATATCTCCAAATTTGGTATTATCAGCAAGGTTTGACATTCAACTCACTATGCCAAGATCCAAGTCATTAATATACAGCAACAATCATGTTATCTAGCGCCCCACAACTGGAATCAGAGTCTCCAATATCTCGACCATCCCCCCAACCCTGCTGCATCCCCATGCAGGGGTCAATGTTATTGTATATAATACTGATGTTGTTAGTCTGAAGAGATTGTAAAAGAACTAGCTGAAGGTTGAGGCATTTTCCCTCAGTGTTTGAAATGAATAGAATCAAAAGTGGAGATTCTATCAGTCTCTGCAACTTGCAGCATATGCCATTGGTTAAGTAGTATTTTTTTACTTACCAGTGCCATTGACACTGGTGTGAGCTAAGTGTGTTATGAATTTTACTCTACATCAAAACGAGCAGTGGTACAAGCATTGCCTTTTAGGGGTCATCACTGTCTACATCCTCCAGTCTGAAAAATAACCTCCTCCCAATTCATTACTTTCCATGTTACTTTCCTCATTATTTACAGTCCATAAACCATTTTTTTATATATTTGAACAATGACCCTGCTATTCTAAGGACTTTAATTTTGCTATCAATTTCTGTCTGGAACTTTGTCAAACGCTTTTGTAAAATCCATATTGTCAAATCCACAGCATTACCTTCAAAACTATTTTCGGATCTATCATTAAGAAATTCAATTAAATAGTCAAACATGATGAATTTGTTTACAAATTCATGCTGCGTCTCTTTAATTAACCCAACCCTCTCAAAGTCCGTGTTCATGTTTTTCCCAAGGGCATTATTGTAATTTTAACTTCATGTCAATTGGGGGTGGCACAGTGGCCTCACAGCACCAGGGACCCGGGTTCAATTCCACCCTCAGGTGACTGTCTGTGCGGAGTTTGCACTTCCCCCCGTGTCTGCGTGGGTTTCCTCCGGGTGCTCCGGTTTCCTCCCACAGTCCAAAGATGTGCAAGTTAGGTGGATTGGCCATGCTAAGTTGCCCATAGTGTTCAGGGATGTGCACACTAGGTAGATTATAGGAGGATGGGTCTGGGTGGGATGTGTTGAGGGTCAGTGTGGACTTGTTGGGTCAAAGGGATTCTAAAAAAAATTGAGATATTTTGTTTGGCAGAGGTAGCCATAGGAAGAATTAATAGAATGTATATAGGAGAGATTCCGAGAGCAATATGTCGTGGATCCAATCAGAGATCAGGCTATTTTAGTTCTGGTGATGCCATAAGGTAGATTTAATAAATGATCTCAAAGTAAAAGGTCTGTGAGAAACCAGTGACATGGTCGAATTTAGCATTCAGTCAGAGAGGAACTTGAGTTGGAAACAACTGCGCTAAATTTAAATAAGTGTAATTACAAAGAAACGAGTGCAGACCGAACTGGAGAAGAAACACCGCAAAAGGAGTTTAGCAGCAAGGACAGTAGAGGAACACTTGCAGAATTTCAAGAAAATAGTTATGGCTCACAACAAATATATATCCCAGTGAGAAAGAAGAATTCCAGGAACAAGCCAACCCTGTTTAACTAGGGATGTTAAGGATAGCATTAAATTGAAAGAAAAAAACATAGATTGTGGTGAAAATTAGTGGTAAGCCAGAGGATTGGGAAAGTTTTAAAAACCAACAAAAGGCAACCAAAGTAATAATAGAGGGAGAAAACAAACTTTGAGGGCAACCTTGTAAGTAATTTCACGATGGTCAGTCGGAGTTTCCTTAAATATAAATAAGGAAGAGAGAGGTCAAAGTGAATGTCCATTAGAGAATGAAGCTGAGGAATTGATAATGGGGAACCAGAAAATGGCAGAGAAGCTGCACCAGTCCTCACAGCAGAAAATACTAAAAGCATTACAAAGATACTAAATAATTAAGGGCAAACAAGGAGGAAATTAATGGGGCTAAAGTCCGATATGTTCCCTGGACTTAATGGGATGAATCCTTGGATTTTAAAGGAAGTAGCTACAGACATAGTGGATGCACTGGTAGTAATCTTCCGAGAATCCTTAGATTCTGGGAAGTGTGGAGGATTGGAAAACTGTCAATGTAACATCTTTATTCAAGAAGTGAGCAAAACAAAAAAAAGGTAACAATAGGCCAGTTAGCTCACTGTAAGAATAAAAACAGAGATGTTTTGCTAAAACTATACAAAAGAACACAGAACATAGAACAGTACAGCACTGTACAGGCCCTTCGGCCCAGGATGTTGTGCCGACCTATTATCCTACTAAGATCAAACTACCCTGCATACCCTACATTTTACTATCCTCCATGTGCTATCCAAGAGTCGCTTAAAAGTCTCTAAAGTATCTGACTCCACTACTACTGCCGGCAGCGCATTCCATACACCCACCACTCTTTGTGTAAAGAAGCTACCTTTGACATCTCCCCTTATCCTTCCTCCAATCACCTTAAAATTATGTCCCCTCGTAATAGTCGTTTCCGCCCTGGGAAAAAGTCTCTGACTATCCACTCTATCTATGCCTCATCATCTTATACACCTCTATCAAGACACCTGTCATCTTTCTTTGCTCCAGTATTCCAAGAGTGGTCTAACCAGGGTTTTATAGAGCTACAGCATAACCTCACGGTTAACCTCTTAAA